ATAACCTATGAGAGTTTCTTACAGTAATTGCTCAAATTGAAGACATTTTGAATCTAGGCCCTTGCATCCTTATCATCTGAACCAAGAGGATTTTGATATCTTGACACCAGGCCACTTCCTGATAGGCAGACCTATCACGGCTATTGCAGAACCTAATATTTAAACGTTAGCGATAAAGATTAAAGAGCTGGCAGAAATTGGACTAAAATAGTACAAACAATTTGGAAGTATTGGAGAAATAACTATTTGAGTGCAAAGCAAGAAGAACTAAATGGTTCTTTGAAAAAGGACAATGTCAAGGTTGGAAACTATGGAATTTTAAGAATGATAATGTTCCTGTTGTATGTAACTGGCCTCTTGGCAGAATCGTAGAGATATCTTAGGTAAGACAATAGGTTAGAGTACTTTCAGTGAAAACGAAAGGGAGGTATTTTTAAGAGATCAATTAATAAAATTTGTCTTTTACCTATGCCAAATTAAACAAAAAGTATGTTTCTAATTAATTATTGTATTTTCTTATTATAGTAGTTTTATTTTGTGATGTTATATTATTTGATGTTTACAATTATTACCTGTATTTCGTATTGTCACTGTGTAATTTTTTATTGTGAGATTTAATTTTGAATGATTACATCATGTCAAGGCGGGCGGTATGTTGCGCCTGCACGCGCATTTCATTACTAGCATCCACGCATGCGCCTTGAGCTCTTAGAGTTTTGTGACTTGAGATTGTGAGCTGAAGAGCATGTGAGAGAATTCGTGGCTTCGAGTGGCCATGAACGATGTAAATTAATGAGAATAAAAGTGAGATATAATACAGTCCATTGTTCCTGAGTTTATTGAATTATAGTGTAGTGCCTGTGCGAAACAATACCCTTACCTGTGCACCAACAGAAGGTTGGGATCAAATGCTTCAACAGTTCCTGGATAATGTTATACAAAGCATGGGTTTAAAGTTGTTTTACACTAGAAGGTGGCTATCTTGTAATAACATTTTTATCAAAGGTGAGTGCTGTCATTCGTATGTATTCTTCCTTTCTCTGTACATAGCATCAAAAGAACACTTTTTTTTTACTTGGATGTTTCAAAACCTTCTGCACTTTTCTCACCAATAAATTTTCTTAATTCTAATATTAATTTATTTGTTAATAAATTTTCTAACTAATAGAAACGACTTGGTTGCCGAGGGCTAATATCTAAAATTTTCTATGTTAATAATTCACTTAATTTGCAATTCAGACATGTACCATATCCAAAAACGACTTGGTTGCCAAGGGCTAATATCTAAAATTTTCTATGTTAATAATTCACTTAATTTGCAATTCAGACATGTACCATATCCAATTTAAATTGATTTGGAGACCATTATGTATGTATGCAAGCAAAGGGGGGTGGGATTTCCGTTTTCCCTTGCATGAGCTACTGGGACCAAAACATCCAGTTCAGCTTGAAAAAAAATACAGTTTATGCTTGTGCATGATAATTTGATACTTGTATACAAATATTTTAATAAAAATGCGTACAAGTTAGCCATAGTTAAATATTGCTGTTATTTAAAATTAGTGTGATGGTTAAGACTGAATTTTATCAACAATTTTTTTATATATTTGGTTGAAAGTTAGTTGTTGATATTCTTAAAACAAATTGCAAGTGTTGATCTGTCAGTTTATTTCTTGACTTATTTATTTGACTTATTTAGATTCATAAGAGAAAATGCTTGTTCACATATAAGTACTAACAAACATGGTACTACTAGCATTATTTTTTAATAAGTTGTAGGGTTTATATTTATTTTAACTAACATTTATTTTAAGTTTAAACTATCTTTCCTGTCAAGCCTTACTTTTCCCTGGAACTGCCAATGCCAGAGTATGTGTAAATTTTAGTAGAACGCGCAAGGATTCAAATTATCAGCGGAAGTATTCCGAGTTAAATAGAAAGGAAACGAGTTCGAAGTGTGCTGTTCTTACTTCACGAGCGCGGAGGTAGTTAGCCAGAAATTGAAGAACCCCACGTTTCGGCCTGTGTGTTTGCCTTGGAGAATTGTTAATCGTTCAACGTGATATTCAAAGGTTGCTGAATTAGCAGTGGTATTGTAAAACGCAGTGAGGTTAGTTACTTTTAGAGAGCCTCGTAGTTAGAGTCTTGTTATTGTGAGCGTCAAGAGCATGCAATTGTAACTTCTTAAGTTGAATAAAAAGGGACCTTATCAAGACTCTGTCATTTTTCCAGTCACCTCTTGGTTGCGTGCAAGTTGGAGGCGCGCAACTCTACAAAGTCAGAAGTTTGTAAATCGATAAGTTCTATTTGAACATCTTGTGGAGCTTCTTCCACAACAGAAGAAAATGGATCCCCGAACAATTTAATTTTAATCTTATACAACTCAAAGTCTACAAATCACTTTTCAAAAGAAATAAGCAGCCTCTTTATTTGATCTGAATAATTCAGTTGTTTATCAGGAAAAATTTCTTTGCATTTCTTCAGGTAAGCAAAACTGACAAAATTTTGACAGACAAGCTGCTTTGAGAATAACTGGAGTTTTAGTTTTAAAGCAGATACTGCATTGGCCTGCATAGGTGATTGATGAATTGATTTTTTAACATCAATTTTTTGTTTTGTTTGTTAATTTTTTGTTTCATTCAGATGGATGTCCCATCAACTAAAAATGCGAAGTCACACTTGAAAGATGGTTCCTTTAACATCCTAGTTTCCTTGCCATTTTCTTCAAGGAATGGTATTATTTCATCAATGAAATCAGCAAACCTCTTCAAAGCCTCTCCACGGCTCAATCATTATACTTCAGAGTAATATATGAGATCACTATGTGTTCAAGAATTTCCTTAAATTGCTTGTGGTTTAAACCATGTGAGCATATAAAATTGATTGTATCGCTCACTACTTTCATTAGGTGGTCAAATCCTAGTTCTTTCACACATAGCTGTTCTTTGTGTATGATACAATGATTACCCAAGCAAATCTTTTCCTCTATCATACAAATGGTTTCTAAGTAGACTTACCATGTCATTCTGAATTCCAATCATGGCTGGAGCTCCATCATTAGTGATACTAACAAATTTGTTAATAATCAAAATTATGTGCAGAACACAAATTTAAAACTGAGGATAAAATATCAGTTCCAGTTATTCGCTCCTTCGTCGAACTCATTCCAACAAGTTCTTCAGTTACTTCAAAATTTTCAGAAATTCCTCTGACAAACAAAAGAAACTGAGCTACTTACTTAAGTAATATCTGTTGAGTCACCAGCTGCTAGAGAAAAGTACTTTAATTTGGCGGCAACCTTCTGTAATTGTTCAGTAACATCATCAGATAAATTTTCAATTCTTTAAATTGTCATTCTGCAAAGACATTTTTAAATTTCTGCGTAGCTTCAGGGCATACTATCTCAGAAGCCGACAATATACATTCCTTTGCAAAATCGCCATGAGTAAATCTGCAGCCACTTTTAGCAATAAAAGCTCCAATTCCCAAAGTAATTTCAACACAGTTATCTAACTGTGGAGATGCCTTTGTAAATATATTCCTTTGAGCAATGAGAGAATGGCAAAGAGATTCAATATTTTATGATTTCGATCCTCTCAAGCTTTGGTGTATAGGAGCCAGTTTCCCTTAGAAAGTCTTCCCCGAAGGCTCCCTTTAGGCAGATAGCCCTCATGTGCTTTACCAAAATTGAATTGAATAACCCATTAACCCATAACCCTCTCAAGCTTTCAAAATGTTGAGCGTTTCGTGTCGCTTAATGTCTCTTTGCAAACACTAATTGTAAATTGCATATCAAGCATATAATTCTATTATTTTGCTTGACAAAAAAGTATTTCAAAGTCCAGACCTCCGAAAATTTCCTGTTATCATCTGCTAACTTTTTCATTTTGCATCCATTCATCATGGCAACTATCAAAACCACATGGAACAAAAATTGGAAAAATTATATGTTGGTTTCACTTTCAAAAAAATATTTAAACAAAAAAGTCAAATATTCAAAACATGAAACTTCTTAATGGTATCGGAAAATAAAAATAAACATCAAACGTGATAAAACAATGTATAGTCACGAAGCCAAAAGTGTAATGACACTAAGAAAATGAATGCACTGCTTCGGATCCGAGCTAATATTTTTCTCTTCCAATTTACTAGCGCATGCGTTCAAACACACTCATGCTAGGTCATACCACAGACTATTTCTCAATCTTCTACAGGTGTCAGTCCTACAGGCTAGGAGATATTTTCATGTTCAGGCAGCAGATGCATGCTTTGGTTGATGCCAGAAACTTGGCTCAGTGCCAAATCTTACTTCAAGCGGACAGAGAAGAATGAGTAATGAAATTTTTTTTGCTCGCAACCCCTTCTAGAGACAACCAATATGTCAAATTGTAACAAAAGTTTGAAAAGGTCTCGGTAGGCCACAAATTGACCGCTCACGAGCCGCGGGTTGTGCGTGCCTACTTTAAATCCTGGACACAAATAAAGGATACAGCTTTTACATATAAGACAATGTCTTTCGGAAAAGAAATAAGCCAAGCCACTTTCAGGTCAATTCATTAAATCCTTATAATGTTTGCATATATCTAAATATATACTTAATTATAAGATAGAAGCATAAACTCGATAGTAATGGAAAAGCAAAAAGCCATGCAACAATTTTATGTAAACAGGAATTTTATGTTGATAGAATAGTATAAGCAAAGCCAAAAGAACACCAACTGTTTGTCACAACTGCTTTATGTTTTAAAAACTACTCTTACGTGCCTTTATGATTTTTAACTTTGGATCTTATCAAACCACAGCTTTTATTATACTGCAACACTAAATGCTTTTCTGTTTAACATAATACAAGGGCAGTATTCTAGCACTGCAGATAAAAACACTTAAAATTTAAAAGTTCAATATTTAATTATTATGACATTAGCTGTACTTCAAATAGTAATAACTGTCGGATAAAAGTAGATGGCCATCATAATTATGCTCAGTAAAAATCGAAATACCTTTCAGAAAAGTCTACTTGAACAGAGTGGTCAATCACAAGATTAGCAGGACACAAGGGATTTACTTTCTCAGGGTCACCACCTAGTTTCTGAACCACATCTCTCATAGCTGCAAAATCTGCCACACATGGTATTCCTCTAATAGGCAAAAATAAAAAAAAATTTTTTTAAATGACACACAAGAGTAATTTTTATAAATTTTAAACTCAAAAGCTACAATAAAATTAAAGAATTAAAACATATTACCGTATATACCCGCGTATAAGTCAAGATATTTTGGACCAAAAAAAGACTTCAAAGTGGGGGGGGGGTCGACTTATACGCAGGGCCATAAAAAATTAAAAGAATCGGAAGTTCATAAATTTCTTTATATAATGCAGTTGTTTTCTTCCCGCACTCAAATTGGAGGACTTATCAAATAAGTCACTTACTTGAAGTAATTTCATGACTTAAATTAAGAGGCGTACACGTTAAGATTTAAAAAAATAGCCACGCACTAACTGAACAGTGTTGAATATTTCTTTTAACTTTTAAAAAGGGAAAATGCAGATAGATTTTACGTACACGAATCTTTTCCGGAACAAATTCTAGAAAGTTACTATATACGATCATTTTTCCCCAATTATCCTGCGTTTTGGATATGATGCTGTTTTGGAAAGTGAAAATGACGACACAGTTTGAGACTGAAAATATGTATGATGATGAGCCAATGATGACAGAAGAGTTCTATGAAATGTTTGGCGAATCCGACCATGAATCTGACGTTGAAGGATTTTGATTTTGTTTATTTACCAAGGTATTTTTTATCGTATATTTACTTTTTTTTTTCTCAGATGATTTTGAATAAATGTAGTACTTAAAAAAAAATTTTCGAAGTTTCTCGATCGATTTCGGAAGTGGGGGGGTCGACTTATACGCAGGTTTCTTATTTTCTACGAATTTTTTATGTCGAAGTGGGGGGTCGACTTATACGCGGGTATATACGGTACTTCAATATAACTTGCAAATAAAAAGCATCTGCAATATAATACCATACGTAAAATATACAAATAACATCCAATATAATTAAGACACAATAACACGCCGAACAAATACTAATTCAGAAGTCAAACAACAAAAGCATTTGCGCTTTTGCAGCTGATGATGGTGGTTTGGTAAAACCATCGAAATTAGTCCTGTGAAAATTTGAAAACATAATGCTGATTTTTGTTGTTTGACTTCTGAATTAACATCCAATATATCAATAACTTTTCTCCACAATACTTACAAAGTTTACAGGACTTCGGGAATGTTGAAATAAAAACTTGTATGCATAAAAAGTCTTATTTTTAATTAAATGATTACTGATCAAGTTATATTGTATAATGGCCAAGTACAGAAAGTCAGATTCAGAAATATGCTTATAAAAGACACGAAAAAATGATGGATAAGTATTTTAATCCATATTACAGTTGCTGTTGAATAACAGAACAATTTTATAAGATTCCTTTTCGAAGTTAAGTTTCTAAATGCCATTATATTATACATTTCTCAAATGAAAATATTTATTAGTTCAGCTATTATCCATATAAAATTTACTATAGAAATTTTAAAAAATAACACATTTTAAAACATGCATTATGAAAACTCGGCAAAACTACATTTTTGAAGGAAGTGAATCCAATTTACACTTTTATGTTAGAGAAAAGAAAACTTATAAGTACAGTATATACAGTGATACAGAATTCGAACTGTACAAATAATCTATTCACACTGGAATCAAGATTAGAGTATGCAATATGAAAAAGCATAAAATTTCTACAATTCCTGCCTCCAAACACAAAGTAAAAAGCTAAAAGAAATAAGCTGATTAAAAGAAGAAATGTTGCATGTATCTTCTTTTGTGCCCCCCCCCCCAAAATTACATGTATTTCTTTGCTAATATTATTTACAGACCTAAACTATTGCTTTTGTTTGCTGAATGGACCAACTACATGTGAAAATTCTTCAGATTAGTTCAGGAATTGCAGAGAAAACAAAAATTCAAATATAAAAGTTTTAATATTGTTCATCCCTGAGGTAGAAATGAAAGCAGTAAATAAAAAGGCAATAACAGCACAAGTGGATTAAAAATTAGAAGGAAACTTCTAAGGAATTGAATTTAAGAAGAAAAAAGAAATTTAATTAATCTTCAACACTGTCTAATGATTATAAAATTTTTATTAGGATAAATTCAATAATGTTCAGAGCAAGAATTACTAAAATATTGCCCGACATAAAAAATATATATATGTAATATTTTACAAAAATATTAACACCTGTTTAGATCTTTGCAATACATTTATTTACAGACACACAACAGTAGTTGCTTCTGATTATTTATCACTAATTTATCACTAATTTTAGATTTAGCAATGCAATAAAAAAACTACATTTTTTTCTTTCTAATTAAAAATTTAGTTCTTTATATAATTTTTTTAAATTTAAATAATATAGCACCCAAGCTTCAAAAGAAAAAAAGCACATTGCTCACGTAAAATCCTGAAGTATCACTCTAGCTGGATTAAATGCAACTTCAATTCCACCTTCTTTATTTTGCAAGTTCTCCCAATTTAAGATGTTTCCAATGTCAGTTTCTTTTACTTGAAAGTTGTCACAGCAGCGGACTGATGCTTCCAATAAGACACGAATTGAAAATGGAAGTTTTTCTAAAACATTAAAAATTCTTTATTACATAAAATAGGAATATTTAATGATGCATACTGTTCATACACAGTTACTTATTAAAGATCACTTTGAAATGAATCCATTTCTAACAGTTCATTTCATATATACTTAAAAATGTATCAGTTGTGCTTTTTACACCTCAAGATGTATTTATGAATAGTGATAAAATTTGAATTTCTGAAAAATTCAATTTCCCTCTTTTATATGGCTAAAGACACTTATTACAGTTCTCAAATTTCAGCCTGTATTTTAAGTTACTGTTTCATAAAAGTGCTTAATGCTTTTATCTGAAATAAAATTTAGTCTAATAGACAAAACTCAAAAGTATTTAAAATAACACTCAGAATTCTCCACAACAGCATGCAGAATAGAATATCAACTCGAATTGTCTACACACCAATCAATACTATATTCCCCTTCTACTAGATATGGCAACATAAAAACTGGGATGAGGAAAATATCATTGGGAATGCATCCAACTGAAGGCAAATCTTCTTTCCTGAGTAATGTCAAAAGTTTGAAAATCAGAATTCTTAAATGAAAGAAATGCAGAACATTAAATGACCTAGCTTTTATGTAGGAAACTTTAGAATAAGTTAATGGTCTGAAAGACATGTAAATAGAGCTATTATGTCATTTGCATGACAGATCAAGCATATACAGAGATAAGGTGCATAGACCAAGTGTCAGACTATATATTGCAGTCGTCCTGATTCATCCTTTGCATAGAAAATATTAAGCTTTATAAAAGTTAATTATCAACATGCTTCTACAGAAGAAATCCAGCATTTATACTGGAATGTATGTTTTCTGACTTAAATCTAATTTGATATCTGAAATTTGTATCCCTTCTTTCTGAATAAGAGGCATTAGTAAGCATTAAATACAAAAACGATAAGCTTGTCAAAGGAGAAAGCAGGCCAAAAGTAAATTAAAATTGCAATAATTTTGGTCAAGTTATTTTGAATATGGCAACAAAAATAAGGGCTATCTGACTAAAAAAAGGGATGCTTTTGTGAAGGACATTTTACAGCAAACTGGTTTAGTTATATGTATTGTATTTGCTGGCGTATAAGACGCACCTCTTTTTATTTGAAAAAATGGGATACATCTTATATGTTGATACTGTGTCGATGCTCAGTTTTTGATTACATTCATTTCTGGAAATTTCCTCTATTTGGAGTTATGAGATTTTTTTCTTGTTTCCTTGCAGAGTGTGGAAATATTAGTTACGTAGAGTTCAGTAAATATGCATGTGCTGCCATCTATGATCACACCTGGGTTCATTTAAACTTTTCAATTTTTCTGAACGACTTTTAAGTGTGTGAAATTTTTACCATTCAACTTTCTTAAATTTGTTGGCAAGCTATGGCTCGAAAACAACGTTGACATTGTTATAATGTAGCACACATGCTACGTGTGATTGCATATGCTAAAGAACATGGAAACAGGGCTGTAGAGAGGCATTTTGGACCATCCCCAACTGAGAAAATGATAAGAACTTGGTGGAATCAGGAAAAGGATCTAAAAAAAGCAACTCGCAGTACACATAACTTACAAAGAGGAACTATACAATGGCCTGCACATGAGGCAGAGCTGAATACTTGGATTTTAGACCACATAAAAAGGGAACTTTCAGACTCTACAAAAGTGATAATTCATCAAGCGAAAGCAATAGCGACTGATAAAGATATTGCGGATTTTACTGGATCAACATCATGGCATTCAAGATTCATGAAGAGAAACCAGCTATGTATGCGAACTAAAACAAAAGTATCACAAAAGATGGCAGACTAATATGAAGAAAAATTATTGAACTTCATCGATTCATCATTAATGCACGAAAATGAGAAAATTTTTAACTTGCACAAATAGGAAACATGGACGAGGTTCCTTTGACTTTTGATGTGCCCTCAAACAAAACTGTAGATTCCCAATGGTATTCTTAAAATTACTCTTAAAATAGTATTAATAAAAAAAGTGTTACTCTTAAAATTACAGAGCATGAAAAAAACTTACTACACGGTTGTTTTATCCTCTTGTGCTGATGGGACAAAATTGCCCCCACAACTGATTTTTAAAAGGAAGACCAAAGGAAAATTGCCTAAAGGTGTGTTTATACATGTTCACGCAAAAGGCTGGATGGATGGAGGAGGAATGAAGATATGAACAGATAAAATTTGGTTGAGATTGCCCTGGCAGACTGTTGAAGAAACCTGCCCTACTAGTATGGGATCATTTTCATTCCCACAGAACACAAGATGTTAAAAATTAACTCAAAGAATTGAAAACTCAGTTAGCTGTAATTCCAGGAGACCTAAATAGTCAGCTTCAACCTTTATATGTCTGCATTGATACACCATTTAAGGAATTTATGAAGAAGAAGTGGAACAACTGGATGCGGTATTCAAATTTTAAGGTTACACCATTAGGAAGAAGGAAGAGGACTAGCATTTTGCAAGTTTGTGAATGGGTCAAAAGCTTCATGGATGCTGTGAAAACAGAGACAGTGTTTAAATCATTTAAGAAGTATGGCATTAGTAATGCAATGGATAGTATAGAGGACAATTTGTTGTATGAGGACTCGGATGCTGATTTAGAAGTTTCAAGTGACTCGGCATTTAGCTCTGGAGATGATAAGTGTCTGGGTTTTGACGACAAAGATTAAAAAGTGCTCTTTCTCAGATAGACTGGGTATTTGCAGAAAGTATTACTTTGTATTTGTATTACAGTCAAAAGTCATTAATCCGGACGTCCATAATCCGGAACTCTTACGCATGCGCGTTTAATGTAAAACGGATGGTATAAGCTAAACTAAAATTATCTAATTCAGTTAATGTTGCAGATTGCGTTGTTCCTTAATCTTCTAATTGGATCCGGATTATTATTTTTTGCAGACTGTTAGAGCAATTTTATAAAAATGAGCTTGAACTTTCGATTATGTCAAAAAGAATTTCCAATTCTGGAGCTGCCAAAGGATCTACAAAGCGAAAGCATGCTTCGATGTCCATCGAACAAAAAGTGGAATTGCTGCAAAAAATGGATAAAGGCATATCCTTTGTTTCTCTAACCGAATTCCGAAGATTGTATTCCGAAATCTGTTTATCAATTTCACGCTGCTCTGCGGGGGAAGGGGGAAACGTCGCGGAGCGCAATGAACTGGAAGTTGATCTGTCAGCACTATCCTTATCTTCAGGGCAGATAGTTTTTATTTTATTCGGCTTATAATTCCTTACTAAATGTAGTATTTCATCTCGATGTACTCCGTCTTTGATATGATTTAAATCAAATTCCTCGTCATTATAAATATCACGAATACACATCAAATAGTTTTCTGGTTGCAATTTTCTAATTTCGACTATGCGTAATGTATGCTTTACGCATGCGCGCGTTGAAAAAAATTTTTTAGTAAAGTAAACAAATAAATATTAAGCTTTTTTTTGTAAATTTTGATACCCCTTAGATCATAATTGCTCTTTATTTCATAAATTGTGGTTTCATATTTTTAATTTTATAATTTCTGCATGCCATCTTACCAAATTTAAACTGATGATCTATAATCCGGAATCGCCGAAGTCCCGACGAGTCTGGATTAAAGACTTTTGACTGTACTTTATGTACTGTAACTTCATTATAATGATCAATAATAAAACTGCATCCTTCAAAAATGTGTATAAAAAAGGGGGTACGTCTTATAAGCCGCCAAATAAGGTATTTTTACATTCTGCTTACAACATTTTACAAAGATTTAACTGTATTAAGACACAGATCATGTTTAACCTTTATCCTCTGAAAACAGTTTGTATTAATCGACATAAAATTCTGCAATTCGCTGCATAACAGAAAACAAACACCATTAAAATACTTGCTTTTACAAGTCATCAATTTTGCCACAAATAAAAATGCTTTTCTTTTTATTTTAAGATACTATAAAGTATACAAAATAATAAACAAAAATGAAATCCATAGTTATCTTACCATATCTAGGATCATTCAATCCAATCAAATCATAATATTTGTAAGTTGCACCATCAATTTCTATGGTTTTTAATAGCCGGTCAAATGGATTGGCTGCAAAATAAATATATAATTAATAAATAAAAATATAGACAGATATTAAAATCCCATATTTAAAGAAGATTATAGTCAGTATTCCATTAATAAACATTTTTCATTAATGGAAGTTCCTGCATTCTTTTATTTTTGTGACCATTCCTCTCATATTTAATGGATACTCTTTTGATAACATACAAAAGTCATGGTTGCTTAAGTGTTTGTAAATGGTAAATTTGACTGCATTTTCTTTCATCAATAACTTATGCTAACTCATAAAACACTTTATTTATTTGTTTAGTAAGGAATAAATGTAAATTTTTATTTAAAAAGTCATGTTGAAATATTTTGAATCAATGTCAACAATTAGTACAGTTATAATTTTAAAAACTAATGCTTTTAATTTTCTATTACATTAAAATAGTCTATTGAGTTGTTTTTGACATTATTTTCAACAATACAGCCTAACCAGAAAATGATCCAACAAACTGACAAGATTTTTTTCTTCTATTTCTCACATCCATGAACAGAATGTTAAAATCCAAAATTTTCGAAATATGCTGCACCATCCTGAATGTTTTTAATAATTAAAAATAAAGCAATATAAAAAAAAAATCCCTGAATTAAATACACACCATTTGATTTTTTGCTCTGGAAAATTCTCTTTTTAAAAGAGTCTTTAGGTTTATTTGTGAAGAAGTTACTGTTGGCAGACTTCAAAGAAGCAGATTCCAAACGGACCTGAGAAGATGAAAATCTGGGGGGGGGGAGGTTTGGTGAATAAGGAGGAGGCATAATCCATCCCAGTCACACTCAAATAAGCCTTTGTCTGACATCCATTGCAATATGAAGCCAAGCATTGTCATGATGGTTGACACCTCAATGAATATCAGTTGTGGATGATTTGCTTTGATTTCTGCTTTAAAAACCTACATTTGAGAAGGAATTGTTTCCAAATTTATTGCCTGATTTCATAGGAACAATTCAGTACATAGTATTAATAATGTAGCCTTTGTAGTCTCACCATATATACAGTGTTTTTTACTCCTTTAAGATGCAGTCCCTCTCTTGATGCTACTAAAAGAGGTTCGTTTGATTTACCTTATCTTGTAACATAGCTTGTATAGCAACCTTGTCAAACTCAGTCTTTTAAGTGGGCCAAATAGTTATCATTTTACAATAGTGAAGCTAACAAGGAAAAGAAAAGCTATTTTCATACTTAACCATGCATTTGAAAAGTGAATAAATGCATATAATCTAAGAAATTTTTTTAAGAAACATACAGAACATAAATCCTGGTATTATTGTTTCTTTCCAGACACTTAACATCATTCTCCTATAACTAGCTTTCAGATGTCTGGACACATGCTGCATATTCAGAAGTCAAATGAATGTACAAGGGCAATCCCAAAAAAAAGGTCTCCTATTTTGGGAGACGTACAGAAAGTTTTAATACGGTTGTTGGCAACACTGTTGTGAGTGGTGCCTTCTCCGCTACCACATAAGCACGCAGGCGCTTCGCTAGGATGCTCAGTCTTGGCTTGGCAGCCATTCGAAATGGAGCTCCCGATAAATGTTGCCGCCAAGTGCGAAGTGCGCGCAGTTATTCGATTTTTGAATGCAAAAGGCGTTAAACCAGTTGAAATTCACCGCCTATTGATGGAAGTGTATGGACAGTCGTGCATGGATGTCAAAAACGTTTACAAGTGGTGTAGAGAGTTCACAGCCGGTCGTACTGAAATTCATGACGAAGAAAGGAGCAGGAGGCCGTCAATTGCCGACGAGACAATCGCGAAAGTTGAGGAACTCATGCGTAAAGATCGGAGGATCGCTCTGGATGCTCTCTGCATTTTGGTTCCTGAGGTTTCCAGAAGCACCATCCACAGGATTTTCGGAAAAGTTGCAATATTGGAAGGCGTGCGCAAGATGGGTGCCGTGTATGCTGACAGAAGACCACAAACGGCAGCAGGTTGATTCTTCCCACGAATTTCTTCGTCGCTGTGGAGACGAAAAGGACAACTTCTTGGACTCGATTGATGCTTCCTAAAGGGCATCGCGGCAAGCTGGTATGACATGGGCATTGTAAAACTGCCACAGCGTCTACAAAAATGCATCGACCAAAATGGCGATTATGTTGAAAAATAAAGCATTCTTCAATCTTTAAAGTGATGTAGCAATTATAGAAAATAAACGGTTCTTTGTATATCTAAAAATATAGGAGACCTTTTTTCGGGATTGCCCTCATATATTAAACTTGGATCTCATTTAGAACTTGCTGATTTCATAAGTGAGAAAAGTCATTTATACAAGATACGTACTACCAAACATTGAAACTACGCACGAAGCAAATTTTTGACTTTTGAGGAACCACACAGGCATGTATTTATAATCTTTGGGGACACCCACTTCACTGGATTTTTGCTTTATAGTTGAGTCACACTGAATTTCTGTTAATTCCATTTGTAAATATGTCCATTTGTATGAACAGGCTGGCTCTTTCTCAATATCGGTCGAGAAAATATTTTTGGAAACTAACCATCTCAAGAGTCCATTTTAGCACCCCAGGTAACATATACCGCTTGTTGTGGAGTGGAATTCCAAATTTTTATTTATATATTAGAACTCATAATTTAATTAGTTTCTCAGAGTGAATACAGAGCTACAGAAAAATAAGTCAAGGGCCTCATGACTGTTGTGTAGTATCCACATTTCTTATCTCCAGTAATGAACTATTTAAAAAGAAAGGAGCTTTTTTATTTAATTTCAGTAAAGAACCATATGCTGAAATCTGAGCAAGCATACTCTACTCTGTTAAAGTATGGGGTACCCACACATCACAGGCTTACATACCCCGTTTTCTTCAAATGAACATGTGCTCTACTTTTTGGAATTCCAGAACTATATGATATAGTTTTTCAGATATAGCTTTTTTAAATATATCCTTGTTTTCAGAGGATTATCATCCAGTGTAAGCATTATCTTTAAAGTCTGAAATTTCTGTGCTTCCCAAATAACTTTCAAATTGTTTCATCCGAAACAGCACTTTGTTCATATACAGCAAAAATTTTACAATTAACTGACAAGCATTTTCTTTTTTGAAATAAACAACATAAGATTAGGAATGTATATATTTTAGGGTACCCTTTGGATTATCGCTGTTCTTTCAGTTATGGTAACCTGAGTACTTTACGATGTATGTTTTAGAAACTCTATGATGACATGATTAGTTGTAATGCGTGATTGCACTGAATTTAATTGTTGGGAAAATATTTCTCAGGGCATATTCCTGCGTAGGATGTCAGTTAGGAAATACGTTGCTTATTTTGTGCTTTTCACCATGAAGTGGCTGCTGGTGATACAATTAAATTGAAGTTTCTGTATGATTTGAAACAAATGAAAAAGAAAGTGATGATTGACATAACTGACTGGTGTGTAAATGAAAGTTTAATCGTAATTCACCAAAATATCTTACCTGAAACAAAGATCATATTCACTTGCTGGAAGTCGTACAATTGTCTTTCTGATAATGGCTTCGTTCACCTCTCAGTAAATTATGCATAAACATTTAAGGATTCAAAAACCGGAGCTCATATGAACATTATTGGAGGTACGTGTGGTGTAATAAAAAAGGATTTCCAAAAGAAATGACATTTCGGCACTACAGAGGATATTTTTGACTCTTACTTTTGTGAATTTATGTGGTGATGGCAGTATACAGATTCTAGTTCAGACAATTTTAAACAATTTTTGAAGGTTGTTAAAGCATTACTATGTGCTACACACTGAAGATGCAAATTTTTAATAAATAAGGCAAGTCTTTTTGTAATGCGCAGATTTGATACAGGTAATTCCATTTTTATTTTATTTATTTGTTTTATTTTGATTTAAAATGAAGATTATTGATATTATAATTTTTTTATGTTTTAATTGTGTTTTATTGCATTATGTTTTGGAGGCCATTTTACCTGGGAGGACACTACACGTAAGCATGAATGGTGCCAAAAAGTTGCCAATTTTCATTCAGGGGGACTGAAATATATTTTTCCCTAAGATTAAAATGAATTTTTGAGGTGCCCAGTCTTAACATTGCACTGAAAAGAAAAAATTACATCACAACACACACTAGAATTACACAAAATGGGCAGAAAAGACTACAAGTCTACTTCAAAAAGGTCACTCCTTATTAGCAGCAACAAAATAATTAGAAAAACTGCAGAATTTTTTGGATGATTAAATATATTAGAGAGTTATGGGATCATTGATGTTTCTTTGAATAAAAGTCCATATAAGGCAAAAGAAATTAATCTATTAGGAAAATAGATGCAATAAACAGTACGTACAGCACAATAACTGCAAGTAACTCAAGGATAATGCAGATATTCAGCAATTCTTCCTTAACATATGGAATACATTGTAAAGATCCTCAAATCACTCTCAGGGTAAACACAAACTTGTAATTCAGCTAAACGTCAAGTCTCGCAACAGAATCACCACTGATTCACAACTGAATCTCTAGCATGCCAACCTATATTTATACCACAACATTCACCATGTTTCTCGCAATGGTTGGGTAAATTTTATATGGAATCAGGTAAAATGAGCAGCCACAAATGTCTGGATGGTGAAAATTCGATGAAGAATTATCAGTAGATTGGAGGCAGGCTAACCACAAGTGCAGTTAGCTACAGAGCTCAATGTAACATCTAGTGTAATCTGTAAATTAGGGAAACTATTTCAAGATACTGGACCAATAATCAAGAATAACTGGGCAATGTTGATCATGATCCACCACAATGAATGAAGATCGTCGTTTGGCACTTTAAGCATAGCAATATATAACTGTTAACAGTTTCACAGATCTCACATGAGTTGTATGCTGCTGCCGGAACCCAAATTTCACAGTCTACAGTTGCCCGAAGTCTGCATGAAATAGGGCTGCATGCCAAAAGATCTGCTATATGTATCCTGCTCACTATGTTACACAAGAAAGCATGTTAGCATGGTGCAGACAGCAAGCACTTTAGATCAGTGCAACACCATGCTTTTTTTTTTTCAGATGAGTCCAGATTCAGCCTGGGCACTACCTGTATCTGGAGAAAGCCTAATACATGATACCATCTCTCCCTCATCAAGGAAAAGGAGCACTACAGGGGTTGAGGTGCAATGGCTTGGGCAGGCATGAAGTTGGAAACCAGCACACCTCTGCATGTGCAACTTTATAAAAGACCCAGACTATCATGAGGTACAGACAGGAGATCTTAGAGCCCTATGTTTGACTTTTTAGGCATGCAGTTGGTCTTGGGTTCCTTAATGGATGACAATACTCGTCGACATAGGGTTCAGCTTGGCGAATGTTGGCAACTGGCCAGCAGGGCACAATTTCAAGATAAACACTACACAAAACAAAAATAACAAGAATTGCACAAACTCAGTGTCCACGTACACATCGATCTATTTTCACTTAAAAAAGATCAGAGAATTACACAAGCTAGGCATCGTACATTGACTTTGTCTATGTACTCCTTGATCTATTTTCAGTTAAAAATCAAAGAAGCACACAATTCTATACAAAAGCCAAACAAAAAATATAATCTCAATGCATCTTATCGCACACTACACAAAAGAAATAACCACTTACTTTATTTAGAAGTTTCTGTTTTCAATCTGTGGCATTAAAAATTCCTTACAACATCCAAAAACTTTCCTCAAACCATGTCCCCTTTATTTATATGGTGAGCATTGCAACAAACCCAAAGCCATCTGAACGATCTTTAAGTTTCACCATACACATCTCCTTCGTACAAACAGGACACTTATAATGGCTACTAAGTAAACCTTCATTTACACACCAGTCAATTAATGCTTTTTCTTCCCTTTCATACCAAATCGTACAGAAACTTCAAATTAATCTTCTTACACACAGCCATTTTACTGTATAAAGCACAAAATAAGCAACATACTTCCAAACCAACATTCAACATACCCTTACAAATAATTTCCCATCAGTCAAATTCATCACAATCACACAACCAATCACGCCATAATAGGGTTTCCATAACATTCAACTACTCAGGTTACCATAAATGAAACAAAAACTTTGCGATAATCCAAGGGGCACCCTAAGATATAAACTAACCCAGGAATTTCTTCTTGCATTCCCTCCGAGATCCATCTTGGAGTTCAAAACTGCCTGCTGCAGGGTTGGAATCAATTGCTACAGGGACTCTTCAGTTGCCTCCTGTCCAGTAGGGTCTCGCAGTGCGAGACTGCGAGTGGAACCACATTACACTCATTTTCAGTTCGATTTCACAATGCAGATTATGGATATCCCTGCACTACTGAACTTTAATGATAACCATGCATACATAAAATGATTTCTGAATGGTACATCTCTTTTCCTGTTACAAATAAATTTTCACACTAAATTTAATATCTGTGCATTAGTTTTTTAATATTTCAATATAATATGCAAATTCTCCTAACTTTGCATACAAGTTTACTAGAAAATTGGTAACTATCAACACGTGCTTTAATAGATTACATTTCATACTAAATTAAAAAATTCATTGTAAAATCAGTAATGTGTAAATTAAATCAGTATGTTTAATTACCCTAATTACATAAATTATAAAATATTATTATCAATACAGCCACTTATAAAATAATTCAATGCATTTTTATAAATAAAATTTTAAAAAACTTGTGGTAACTTTTCCGATATATTATTTGGGTATTTCATTATAATGTTCCCCCCCCCCAAATTCAATCACTAATACACCAAGATGTAGCAAGGTTAAGAACATGTGATGAGATATCTCAGTTGATTAGCAATTCAGACTTGGAGGCTGCTAAAGAAGTACCATTATGTACATAATGCCACAAGGAAACTATATTTTCTTGCCTACAAGTCAAGAATGCACATACCAGTTCACACCTGCATTCTTTATCTTCTAACATTTTACATTAACGGTGTGGAGAAATTCAAGAGATACATGAATATGTATTTTCTTAAAAGCATTAAAAGCTATTTTGAATTATATATGTAAACATTTATATATGCCTTTGCCAGATGGAAAGTTATTGGGCTCTCATTAAATGAAAAATGTGCTTATATTTCCCTCATAAAATGTTAATTAAATCAACGATTTTAAATGCAACTAAAATAAAATGAAATTACAACCCCTTTTCGCCCAGATTATTGCTAGAGAACTTTCAGTGCTGCTTTGTTCAGAGTCTTTCAGTATCGCACTTCTTCATATTTATAAAATCAACAAGCTAGCCGAAAAAAAGGCTGAACACTATTTTTTGAAACTAATTTGATATTACAGTGTCAATTGAAAATATTTATTTCTTAAACCAATTAAAATTTATTGAAATCATCAAGCCCATCATTAAAAGATCAACCTTCATTTTATTTATAACTGTGTTTTAGAATTCATCAGAGCAATTAAAAAATCAAATTCAATCAATTATATTCAGTTTTCAATAGTTATTGTTTATTTAGAATATGTAACACTACAATTCAGTTTTAAATGACATATTTTACATGGCATGTTTTGCATTAGATTGTCTCACAAATTTCAGTATTGCTAAATAAAAGCTCATTTTCACAGATATCAAAATTCTTATTGGAAAAATTCTCTTAAATCCACCTACCTTTTCAACAAATTAAATAATTTTCATTTTCAAATGAAATAATTTGAAATCGGCTCTAGTGAAGCAAAGTGTGCTCCTTCAATTGGCGACAAATTTTGTTCAATTTCGGTGATGAATCCTCATTTCTGGTTACCATGATAGTTTTAACTTGATTTCAGCTTTCTGACTCTTTTTTTAAAGCGAAAATAGATCAATGTGTACATGAACAAAGGCAGTGCGCAATGCAGAGTTTGTACAATTCTGTTGTTAAGTGAAAATGGATCGATGTGTACGTGGACACCAAGTTTGTGAAATTCTTCAACTTCTTATTTTGGCGTTGTGTAGCAGCCATCTTGAAATTGTGCCTTGATGGTGCCAATCTTGGCATAAAAAAGAATTGCGAAAAAAAAACAAAGGGCACCCAATTGTAAACTTCTACCTTAAAATCTTGAAATCTATGTTTCAAGTCAAATCAGCTTCATTCACTGAATTAAACGAAATAATAAGTAGACGGAAACATACAATTAAGAAACCATTTAATCACCCCTGCCTTTAAAATTTAATACCATTTTAAAATATTACTTCAAATGCAGTTTAGGTTAGGTTAGGTTATTTAATTGCAAAGCCTCAAGGGCTATCTGCCTAAGGGGTGGAATGCCTTCGTGGAGGACTTTCTAAGGGAAACTGGCTCGTATACATGTTACACATGGGGAAAACCACGAAAACACCCATGCAGCTAGCACGTTCATGGGAGTCGAACATCGGACCGAACTACCAGTGTTCAGCGACTTTACCGCTCGGCCGCTGGTGGGCTCAAATGCAGTTTAATTTTCCTTATAAAATTTTACTTTTAATGCTAAAAATTCCTAACTTACTTTTAATGCTAAAAATTATGAATATTACTGGTTGGATTTTATAGAGTTATACATAATTCGGCAAAACAAGTTTAAAAATTCCATAACCAATACCAAATTTTATTACACTTAAAGGAGGACAAATCCAAGTTTTCTATTTATACATTTCACATATGCTGAATGTAGTCACTTTTGATGATCTAAATTACAGATATTTTAGCAAATTCCAGACTATACAGGTTTGTTTAGTATTATGCAAAAGAATATAACTTTGTGGAAATAACCTGAAAATGTGCAATTTGTATGGTAAAGAATACAGAAGATAATTTAAAATAAACAATAAAAACAGTTAAAAAATGAGAAATCAACATGCTGTGCAATAAAATTGTATGTTAGGCATGAATTTTTCAGACACTAAATAAATAGACATTAATCATAGCCCAAGACATTAGGTATTTTATTCCATTCCTTGAATTTATTCATTAAATTTATTACATTAATCATAGACCAAGACATTAGGATGGATTCTTTGTATTTCATTCCATTCCTCGAATTTATTCATAAAATTTATTAACTGCAAGTGTTGACTCATACGTTTTACTCATTTATCACCTACTTATTTCATATGCAATAAATATTACTTGAAATGCAGGGGTAATTTTTCCATTCGCTACACAAAAGTTTCAGCACTTACCGCCGAGAGGCATTTTTAAATTTATAAAGACACCTTACAAAGTGAGGCGATTATGGAAATACTCTAACTCAGTACGAATTTTGAAAACTCCCAAATCATTTAAGTTTAGGAAAAGCACACATACGATATAAAATTCGATTGATAATTAGGTACAAGCAGGCTATAGTTTACTTTAGATAAGATATTAAATTTTCGTAATTATCTTAAGGAAACACTATTTCGTAATACGGATAGAATCTGTTCGACACAGAAAACACCAGATTTCGCACACGAATTTACGAACTCCCTTGGCGTACTTCCAATAATAGGAGTGAAGGGAGGAAGACAAGTCGACGGTAAAATTGTTTCTAAATTTTACAACTCATGAACGAATAGCGGAAGAAAACTTACTATTATTGGCCATTCTCACTATTCTTCAGGAATTCAATCTTTCTCGCTCAGATAAACTATGACCACCAAAGCACTCTCTCACGCAGCCCTAAAATAACACAATTCACATAATCAACATACGTACATTACAAGCTTTGTTAGAAAATAACAAGAGCACTACGTCTTTCTACGTTAATATCCTCAAATCGTCGACGAATCAATTGCGTACACAATCATCTCACGCAAGGTTCTTTAACATCTCACGTACTGATAAGCAGGCGCATAGAAAATTCAAAATAATAAAATAACAATGCCAATCTCGCATGCAGTGTAGTCCGAAATTTAACCGCTCAAAGCGCTAGTTATATTACCCCAAAACAAAAAAGTGAAGGCATCTACGATTAAAATTTTGAAATATGATTCCTTCGTAAATAATTTAACTACAAAACGTACATTTACTGTAATTTATAGAAATAACCTTATATACTTTTTCAAGAATATTTTTAAACTTAACTATTTTGCAATATAATTAAGAAAGTTAGAAATATTTCATATTAGTTTTAATTCTGAATAACTGAATAAGTTTTTGTAATTTTGAAATGGATTTTTATGCTTCTGTAGTCACCAAATAAAGATGACTAAAAAAAAAACAAGGTCGATAGTAATGAAACAGTTTTATTAAACACTGTTACATGTTTTCAGCAATCACACCAGTTCGACAGTTTTCTGGTTCAGCACAATTTTCTGGTTTCTAGTTCTATTACATCTGTTTCTCTCAAAGTTCGCTTTACTCATTATTTCAGCTCACATATTATTGTTGCTAATTTATTTTTTTATAAAGTTATTATTTTGAATTTAGCTTATGTTTTTTGTATTGTTTAGGAAAGTACAATTCCATTCGATTAAAAGTAAAGTCTCGCACCTGTGCACCCTGGTGTGTACACCGTTCCACGGAGGAGTTACATTAAACAAAATATTTACACTTTATGAGCACTTTAACATATTTTAAAACTATCTATCAAACTAGCATTCTAATAAAAAAAAATTTTGTCACCATAGCAACCTTTTGAAATAAAATATGTTATGTAAAACTTGACGATTATAAGAAGGCAAGGTACGTTTGACATGGTACTTTCAAAATTAACAGGTACAGGTAAAAAATATGAGGGGTAGCGCTATGATCAACATATAAATGCTTAAATCCATCTGTTCCTATATTTTTGTGCGATTTCTAGCCATCAAAATGTACTGTTCCTAAATGCTTAAATGCTATTTGCTTATGCTTATATTAGCCCATTTGGGCTTTAATAAGCTATATTGATCTAATCCCCTAAGGACAATCAGAATGTCAACTATCAGCTAGTTCCCAGCCGGGAAATCGGAGCGGGTAAGGAAAAGAGGGCCCATCGGCCATAGTGACAAAGTCCAATCATCAAAGTAACTTAACTCTCACCCCTGAGACAAGAGTAATAATCACGTGTATGGAGCTATGAAGATGCAAAAGAAATGAAAATACATGAAATGTGCATAGGATACAGTGTTGAACATGTAATAAACAAATGAAAGTGAAGTAATGTACGCATAAAAAATGTGTTATTTACATATTTAAAAACGAGTGGGCTAAGTGACAAAATTGTGCTCCCTCATTCTGTGAGTCGTGAAAGGCCTGATATTGTAGTCCTCAGGAATGCAGTTATAGTTCAGTACAGCATTAAAGTTTCCTTTACTGCAATTCAAACCTTTGTCAAAGAACTTGCTGTTAAGTTTTTGCAGATATTTGTCAATATATTCAACTTGTAAATCATCGTGCAGAAGTTTGTTACGGATGTAAAATGCGCTCCTGTAATGGTGCGTAAGATTGTGTTTTGAGTCACCTGCAATTTGTTGATATCTGAGCTCGTAGCAGTCGCCCAGACAGGGGACGCATAACACATAATTGGTCTTAAAATGGAAATATAAATCTGTCTTTTCCTTCTCAGATCTAACTGCGAGCTGCGCCCTAGCAGCATTTGTAATTGTTGAGCAATTCCTCTGGTCTTGTTTGCAATGTAATTGACATGCGTACTCCACGTGAGTCTTCGATTCAAGTAAACACCTAAATACTTGGCCTTGTTTACCATCGGGACACGTTGGCCGAATAGGTAAAGTGGCTGAACTGAGACCAGTATTTTCTTCCTTCTAACAAGAAGTAGCTGTGATTTAGTCGCATTGATGGAAATCTTCCACCTGGAGCACCACTCCTCAATGTCCATAATTATATCCTGCATAACAGAAATTGCCCTGTTAGGCTGAATAGATCTGACCGCTACAGCGGTGTCATCCGCATAGCAGGCCAGCAATGTATTTCTGTTGAGTTTATCCCGCGGGAAATCAGCCGCATAGAAAAAAATAGAGTACTGGGCCAAGACAGGACCCCTGGGGGACGCCTGCAGCGATAGTTTTGTATCCAGAATGACTTTGCTTGCAGCTAACAGTAAAGTAACGATTTGCAATATAAGATCTGGTGAGTAAGATCAGTTCTCTAGGCAAATTCATCATTATCAATTTATATATTAAGCCCTCATGCCAGACACGGTCAAATGCTTTGGCCACGTCCAGCATGAGCACTGCAGTACAACTCTTATGATGCAGAGCAGAGCCGATAAATTTCCACAAGCCTAATCAGTTGTTTAGATGTGCAAAGTTCGCTCCTAAATCCGTACTGATCTTCCGGAAGTACCTGTAAATAAGGCTGGAATTTCCTTAAAATTATTCGTTCAAAGATCTTGCCTATATTAGAGAGCAAGCTTATGGCCTGTGATTCTCCGCCTTAGTGATGTCTTTTGCAGGCTTCGGTAGTAGGAAAACTTTTGCGTACTTCCAGCAGTCCGGGAAGTAGCATAACGTAATGCATATATTAAAAATGCTGGAAAGTCTTGTGATTCCACCGCGCAGGAGGTTCCTTATCATTAAATTTGTAACTCCATCAATACCTGGGGCTTTCTTGGGGTTCAATTTGGAGATAATATCCGTAACTTAGATATCCGTTTTCTTAGATTAGTTAAACCATCGGCATTTAGAACCGTGGGAGCACCTAGCCATTCTTCTACTTTCATTCTGATTTGGGTCTCAGAGTGAATATTCTTCTGGGTTTGAGAGATTTATTGAAATAAACAAACTGGAAATCACCGCTCTTTATAAGTGCTCTTGTGAGTTTATAAGTGCACTCTTTATAAGTATGCCTCTTTATAAAGTGCGCCTGGGTAACAGGCATTTTGTTTATTTCTTTAGGATTTTCTTTATTTCTTTTTTTTTTTTTTTTTTTTCAAAAGTTTTTCTATTTATTTGGAAACTTAACATAAGCTTTCTTGGTTAATTAAAAGGTAACATTACAACATTATTACAGAAGGGAAAAAGCTATCAGCTTTCTGGACGCGTAATGCGTCTTGCTCGAATTTCTCAGGAAAGAGCCAGCGTTGTTTTTTTTTTCTTACTCGATTTAATAGGTCATTATATGTAATGCCTTGAATGTGACATTATATATAATGCCACATTCCTCACATATTATATATAATGCCTTGACTTGTATTGTGGCGACTTGCCTACTACAACTCAACGCTGCCAGTCTGTTAACACATAGCAACCAAAAACAAAATAATATTGTTGCGTGCGTACGGGTTCGTTACGAAATGAATGCCCAAGTCCGATGAAAAATGAAGAAAATTTATTATTATCACAACAAATATGATTAAATGTCCTCAAATAATCGAGCAGTATCACAATATATCACAGTAGTTATCTTCTAAACTACTCAAACGTTCAATAGAACTTAATTCAAAACAGCTAAAGAAAGCTAATCCGCGAATTCGCTACAGTCAAGAGCAGTTTTCTAAACAACAAAAACTAAGTAACTAACTACGAACTTTATTTATTTATTTCTTATTCACCGCAGGTATACAACTATGTTGAGTTTTGACCTGTTCAATCTGCGCAGCCTATGAAGGCCATTCACGGTTTTTAGTACATTAAGGTGCTACTGCACCTCGCCCGGGGGGGCGTGACATTAGAACAAGGGGCAATCATTCCGTGGCGAAGGCGAAGTCAAGCTGAATATACGAAAATTGGGAAATTAGTACTTGGAAAACAAAATCATCCAGCATTCAAGTCCATGCATGATGCATTCGGTCAAGATAGTAGCGTAAGTTACTGAGATAGGGTGCGCACTCCAGCAGCGAATCAGGAGTAGAACCACAGCAGTGGGCGTGGTGAGATCACACAATACACAGTCCTTAACACATATTAATTAATTCAGAGTCTCTAGCCTGCTTCCAGGCAAATAGCCAATTTTGGCAAAACACAGTACTGGTTAAATAAGGTTAGATAGAGCACAAAACACAACTTCATATGTACACTATTTACATACTTACATCACCACCGCGCATTATGGTGAATTGACCGAGGTCTCTTCACCATGCTGTCCACCGTAGGGTCATAATTACCGAAACTACGAACTGAGAGGTTTTCCTCCTTTTATAAGATTTTTAAATCGCGTGCGAGAATTTTCTGGTACTTTCTCGAAATCAAAAAGATATATTTATTTAATGCTTAATGCACGCACTCTTGTATTTTCAATTTTCGGGCTTAGCTTTCTTTTAATATTCGTCACGCGCTGCACTGCGCGGGAAATAAAAAACCATTTAATTTATAATTGAACTAAACATTAGCTTTTTAAATACCAAATTCGTAACAATATTTATTCTAGTGTTATTATTATTATCGACCTGTCTCAAAAAATTGTTCTACCATAGTCATTATATAAAATGACACAGCCATTATATTTTGGTATTTACATATAATGTAATGTATATAATGTATATATTGACATGATCAGTAACGGATATCCCGCAGTGGGGGTCTTTCCTTGATCCCTTTCCGGTCATCGCGGACGCTGTTTTCTATTTAGAAAAACATAAAGTTTTCTAATATAAACTTGATGTCACACAGTATTTGAGGATGAAATATTTCTTAGTACCTTTTGAAGAAGTTTTGGGACATGTGTTGGGGTTATATTCAGTTTCATTCCATTAGCCATGGCTAAGAGACCTTAATTAAAAACTTAAAATTTGTCCAAAATCACCGGACACTCCACCTTTACGTCTAACTGGTAAACAGTTTCAGAAAATTTACATTGACGGGAAAGGTAATAAATGTAAGGAAAGATGCGTTGTGTGCGCTAAAACCAAGGAAAAGCGAAAGCAAAGAACG